ACACACACACACACACACACACACACACACACACACACACCAGAATCTCGAGCACAGGCACCCGCAGAAACACAGGAACAGGCACCCAGTGCAAGGATACCCAGCGAGATTGGTTCATGCCTGCATATCCAGCACTGAGGAATCAAAAGCACGAGGCTCCCTGGATCCAGGCTAAGCAGGAAGACATAGTGAAGTCCATTCTACGTCCACTACAAGACATCCCAAAGCGCTATGAAAGATCTGTGTCTCCACAGGCGCCTCTCAGCATTTCCAGCATGACCCTGGACGAGCCGCGGTGAAGGGCATCTGGGCTGGTTCATTTTGGGAGGATCTCGCTAGGATGTACCGGCTGGAAACATACTGTGTATGCCTGCCTGGTTGTCAACTAGATCGAGCCTTAGTGCCTGGGTATCTGTGATGCTTAGCTGCAAGGCGCTAGGCCCCATACTGAGCTGGAAGGCTGTTCTTTCTTTTTGAAATGTGGGTATTGGCCGTGCGCATGCGCAGAGGAGCCTAGGAAAAATGGGTCCCTAGCACCTAGCTGAGAGGGGTGTAACTCCATCCTGCTGCAGCCTCTGGCTCAGGCTTCTCACCAAGGCACTGCCGGCCTGATAGCGACTCCAGAGGACCCCACGTTGACCATCTTCAGTATTAACCAGAAGGGAAGGACTCTGGAGGGCCCCGCGAAGGTTCGGGAAGACTTTGTCTTCTTTTATTTTCATTTAATTGCATGTCGTTGTGATTGTTTGGGAGACAAGGACCCACCGGAAAGACTGGGCTCTCCTAGACCTCTTAGATCTGTATCAGGCTTCATGGAAGGGACAGGGATCTCATGCCTACTTATTCTCTTGCCTGCCAACCCAGGCATGCATGCCGAGAAGGCACAAAACACCTCAGGATGCTCCAGGGAGAGGACAGGACATTCAAGAGGAGACAGTGCCCAGTTTGCCCTCTTCCTACACCCACAACACCGCTGCTCTCAGGCTGAAGTCATCAGGAAAACAGTGCTTCCCAACCTAACACCATGCTGAGTCTAGGTGCTGGCAGAGCTCATGT